ATAAATGGAGAGCCTTGGATGAAGAAACATTGCTAAACCCTGTTGAAACTACTCGATCTCCGTGAAATGAAAACATTCATACATACTGCAGATGGCTTCGTAGATCAGCCATTCTATATGCTGCGGGCCGCATGTGTTGGCAACATCAGCCTTGAAAAAACCAATTCATCGCATACACCCAGTGATAAAATTAGCATGAGGATGGCCTTACGAGGTGCTATGTCGTTCTGAGGCATTGAATCCTGGTCGATCTTAGACGTAAAATCCAGACGTGCGGCCCATTGAACACTCAGAACAGCAGCCTGCTGTTTGCGCAGGGCGTTGGGAAGGTTGAGGCGGATCCGGAAATATAGTTTGAGAGCGAGCGACACTGGGCATATGCATACGATAGCTTGAAAGGATAGGTTCTGCACTGCCTGTTCACCATCTGTTCCATCTATAGTCCAAAAGTATTTATGAGAAGCATTGAAACTATTTACAAGAAATGAATTTTCCCGTCCCATCTATAACTTCAGCACCATGGGCACACACAATAGAGAGGAGAGCGCAAGTCGTCAACAAATTAAGTTTTAAAATTTCATTTATGAGTACAGTACGCAACTTTATTAGTACAGGCATCAGCTAGCTTTTTAACGACATCTTCCAAGAACAGTAGAATGAGATAAATCTTCTACACAGACACCATGCTCCAAGTCGAGTTGAACAATTCACTTGCACTCCATGCTATCCTCTATAAGTGATATCTGATCGAACTCAACTCCAACGCCACTGTCCAAATCCCTCCTGCCCAGATGTCAACATACACACATTTAGGCCTGGTCCCACCATGCCATCGCATAATATGATGAGCTTGCCCGTACAAGGTCTAGCTTCGAATCAGATGAACTCGAAGACCTCCCAAGTGTCTTCCGCATGTACGGCATCTCTCCCATCTTCATAAATCCAGCTGACTCAAACGCCCGCATCCCAGGCTTGTTGTCATTCCCCCGCTGCACAGATAGAACCATTGCACTCCCACACATACCCTTCTTTGCAGAACGCCCGCCCTGGTCCATTCTCAGAAGCTCCCCGGTCACGCTAGCCGCATACTCAGACTTCTTTGCAACTACGGGTCCGATTTGTAACTCCGGCTGGTGGTCCTTTGTAGGACTTGCCAGGTACCGACCCCACGCAACTGCCACGATAGACGAGCCAGACTTCAAAACTGCACACATCCCGTACTGCTTATAGATGCTCCGCAGCATTGATGCGCGCGATGCCCCATTGGACTTTTCATCGAACTTGATTGCCTCCTCGTGTTCGGCCTTGCTTGGGACTCTTGGTTTCAGGCTGGAACGAGTCGGGGCAACTGCAGGCGGTCTTGCATACATGACGATCTTGATGCTAGGTACGACTTTAAAGCCGAGGCGGCTGTACATTCCCATTCCGAGATCTGTGGAGGTGAGGACAACGGAAGATCGGCTCCTAAAAAGACACGAGACATTGCGAACAAGGGTAGACAATGGATTAATGAAAACGGATGTTAGAGAATGTGATTGAAAGAAGTGTAGAGAAAAAGAGATAGAGGCGAGATACAGGGCATTAGAAATACAAGTATACTTACTTCTTTGCTTCAGCGTGGCTCAGAAGCTCCGAGACCAACTTGGAACCAATTCCACGGCGCCTCATGCTCTGAGATACTAAGACGTTGCCCATCCAAAAGCTTTGTGGAGACGCCTCATGAATCGTCCCGACCCCAATCAGAGTGCCCTTTTTGTCGTGAGCAATGACAATGGTGGTCTCTGTGACTGATAGATCAAACGGTGTCTGATTCCACCCAGCTTCCTCATCTTCAAAGCGAGTAATCTGCTCCAGAAGATCGCGGTCCGGGGCCCCTATGACTTGTACGGTGGTTTGGGTTGTAGGCTTGGAGGTGAGCTGCGTAGCTTTGCTATGTGGGCTTCGCGCAGAGTGGGGGGCGGAATGGACGGGTGACATGTTAGAGGTTCTGTGGATGAAGTGAATAGTTATCTCGAAGACAGTAGGTTCTTTTGTTTGAGTTGTGAGAAGAATAATTTCGTTCGCTGTGAGAGATTACGTTCATCTTTTATACCGACCTATGTTTCAGCACGAACTCCAAAACAAAACGACACTTTTTCCAACCCTGATTTACTCGCAATGACTTCAATCCAAGCGCAAACGCTTTTTGAGCTTGTACATCCGCGGAGCAGAGAAGATCGATGAGATTTCCATCCCATTATTGCGCCATAGACATCTGGAGTAGACAGTGGACCCTATATTGCCGTGAAAAACAGATTGACTTCTATCTATAATGTTTCGCTATTACTATTCTGTCACGTAACATGCTGAATGTTGTCGTTGAGCATTCCACGTTCTACTCTACAAAGCAAGAAATATTGATTTTCTTCTAGGTGACCGCTTACAAATTTTAGGATCCACAACATAGAAGGTCGTGTGTCGAAAAGAGAAGATTTCTCGACACAGCAATAGCGACATTCTCCATCATTTGTCAATTGCTCTGGCTTAAATCAATAGGTGACAATCTTGAAAAATATTAAATCGTTCATATGAATCACAAGAAACCTCGAAATGCTCAATGAAGAGATGTATACTGGGGGAAAAATGAACAACTAATATACCAGTGGGGATATGCGGACAATGAACAAAGTTTGTCTGAGATTATACCTGTGAGCAACACCCAATGGGAAGTGAACGTGGGAAGAGTCAGAGAAACACGCAAGTGTCGCCACTATTACAGTCAAAAGTGCGCGAAAACATCTTTGTGGACGAAACGGTAATCAGATGATGTTGGCGAAATGACATAATGACTCTACGACTCAATCCCTCATCGGAAACGAATGATGCACACGTACAGCAGTAGCATACAGGAGGAGTGACACAAAGAGCTGTATTGAGCGACGAGATTGAGAACATGACGAGAGGCCTTTCTGTTAGCCAATCGCGATCTGTTTGCCCTTCTTTTAGGTGTGTGCTTGTTGCCGGTGACAAAGTCATTTCTGACCATTTGTTTTGACAGGCTCCCCTTTCGTGGCACTCGCCGTTCATTGCTGTCTACCCAGACCCTGCTTCGGCGATTGTTCGATCCAATACTGTACAATCTTCGAATTGTGATGCCTTCAGTAACGAGGAGAGACACGATGGCAAAATGCTGGCGAAGGAAAGAGGTCCAGCTAACAATCCCTGAACTCATGCGCCTCTCGGGAATACGCTATCGACGACGTGAACACAAGTGTCTAAGTTTGGGATGCACAGCTGTTCATTGAAGGTCACTGGGCTGTGCCCAAGCCTTCGCAGTTGTCGCTTCAAATTGTTGTAGACATTTGATTTCATAAACGGAAAACAGTCTCAGTCACTGCGCATCCGCTCGCAAAGCATATGGAATTTTTCTTTGATCTGTTCTTTCCAACGGCTGCTTGACGGTTTCATGCTGAGAACTGGGCCAGTCGGCAAGGCTGGGGCGTTGATTGAGCCGGCTTTTGACTGCGATGTAAGTCAAGTTATAAAAGGGTATAACTCAAAGAAGAGCCTCGCTTCACGTGCACCTTTCAGAAGACGCTTTACTGAAGGTTCTTTCGCCAAGTGTCCTCATATGAAGCTTACACTTTGCTAGAGCATCGCTCGCGACAAGATAGATGTACATGGGGACATGTTTCGCGGGGACACCTTGGTCACCTCTGCTTGGCTGTAGAAGTGTTGCTTTCTCAAGATATAAAATGAGCGACGAACATATTCTTTTCGTCAGAGTTAGTTAAATGGTGAAAGTTGCGTCATTGATCGTCTTTGGTCTTATCGAGGTCGAGAACGATGGAGCGCAACCCTGACCTACACTTTTCAACATGGTTAATTCCGAAAGCATGGACCTGAACCAAAGTGAAAGAGGGCAAGGGTAAAACTTTGCCTCCACTACACCCTGAAAGATGAAGAGATACTGCTTATCAATAATATAAACACGCCCCCGGCCGTCGTATCGGTGTTGAAGTTTTTTTTAGTGACAACTAGCTAGAGAACGATGTGAGGACGTCTTCTGGCAGGAACATCATGTCACCGGTAGCAAAACGAACAAAATGGCTTATCCCCAAAAACATGAATATGGACCGCGCCGCGAGGGAGGGTGTGTCCATTTCATATGTCGTGTCTCCTTCTCATATTTCTATCAAAGACTTTTGTTGGCCTTTTTCATTTAAGTGCAGTCGCAGATCGAAGTTACTCTATGAAGTTCTCACTTCCTCTCTGGTTTGTGTAGCAGTAGTTTTGAGATAATGTCCTCTTGCTATGTTAGTCAATCTTGGGCATGTTGGCAAGACAATTTTGTAACAAGATCTGCTTGGAAAAGGCCTGACAAGGAAACTAATTTCTGTGTAGAGTACTGTAACGAGCGCGTGTTTGCATGTCCTCCTCTGTCTACTCGGACTTGTGAGACAGGAAAGAGGAGGCCATATACAAAAGTTGGGAATATGCTGCAGGCAAGTCAAAGCGCGTCTCACGGAAGCGGTTCTATAGCGCGTACTTCGGTTGGGGTGGAGCGATGCCGAAAAGCTATACCGACATAGTTATGTCAATATGGAACACAAGGATATGCACGAATCTCAATATGGACGTTCTGTCGTATTCCATAGCTTGTACAAAAGTTATAAATGAGCGCAGCTAAGTCACACTATTGAAACAATAATGTAAGTCAGTGAAGGGCTCACATTATTGTTGCAACGCGATCAAGGAACTGCACTCGACAGGAGCGAAAGCGGTATGTACATGTGAATACTGCACTTAAACATATCCATATTTAATATGTTCATATGATCTACTTGCTAGAAGGAAACAAAGAATCTATATAAGTTATACGCCTTGGTTAAGTTGGCACATTAAAGTTCAGGCGTGGTCCTAGAAAGTCAATTCGCGTTTGTATCATTGTGTCTCTCCAAAAAGGAGATTTTCAGCATCTTGCTTGTTCGTTTGCAAGCGCTGGGCATGACTGGACATGCCTATGCAAGATCCCACCATGCCATCGCATGGTATGATGAGCTTGCCCGTACAAGGTCTAGCTTCGAATCAGATGAACTCGAAGACCTCCCAAGTGTCTTCCGCATGTACGGCATCTCTCCCATCTTCATAAATCCAACTGACTCAAACGCCCGCATCCCAGGCTTGCTGTCATTCCCTCGCTGCACAGATAGAACCATTGCACTCCCACACATACCCTTCTTTGCAGAACGCCCGCCCTGGTCCATTCTCAGAAGCTCCCCGGTCACGCTAGCCGCATACTCAGACTTCTTTGCAACTACGGGTCCGATTTGTAACTCCGGCTGGTGGTCCTTTGTAGGACTTGCCAGGTACCGACCCCACGCAACTGCCACGATAGACGAGCCAGACTTCAAAACTGCACACATCCCGTACTGCTTATAGATGCTCCGCAGCATCGATGCGCGTGATGCACCATTGGACTTTTCATCGAACTTGATTGCCTCTTCGTGTTCGGCCTTGCTTGGGACTCTTGGCTTGAGGCTGGAACGAGTCGGGGCGACTGTAGGCGGTCTTGCATACATGACGATCTTGATGCTAGGTACGACTTTAAAGCCGAGGCGGCTGTACATTCCCATTCCGAGATCTGTGGAGGTGAGGACAACGGAAGATCGGCTCCTAAAAAGACACGAGACATTGCGAACAGGGGTAGACAATGGATTAATGAAAACGGATGTTAGAGAATGTGATTGAAAGAGGCGTGGAGGAAAGAGATAGAGGCGAGATACAGGGCATTAGAAATGCAAGTATACTTACTTCTTTGCTTCAGCGTGGCTCAGAAGCTCCGAGACCAACTTGGAACCAATTCCACGGCGCCTCATGCTCTCGGCAACAAACACGTTGCCCATCCAAAAGCTTTGAGGGGACATGGCATTCAGAGTGCCAGACCCGACTATGGCTCCATTTTTATCATAGACGACGGCGATGGTGGGTTTTGAAACCGAGAGATCAAACGTTGTCTGATTCCAGCCGGCTTCTTGGTCCTGCAAGCGAGTGAGTTGTGTCAAAAGGCGGCTGGTTGGGGCCTCATGGATTTTGACGGTAGTTTTCGTGAGGGACTTGGAGGTGGTTTGGGTAGACTTGCCCTGAGTGCGTTTGGAAGATTTGATTGATGAACTGACACGAGACATTGTGAGGAGTTTGTTTGAGGTGAGTTGAAATGAGCTGTATGTGTTAGGAGAGTTGGTTTGTTTGTTTGTGTGAGGAATTTTAGTTGGGGGAAGGAAGGTTTGGTGAGGTTTTATAGCGAGGAAAATAGTGTGTATCTAGGGAGCGGTGGTGCTCTTAACAAAGGTGGTCAGCGTGGGAGTCAATGTAGGATCAAGTAGATGCTTCATTGCAGACTATGGACAAGGATTTCGGTAGTTGAGCTGGGCTTTGTGTTGAGGTTTGGTACAGTTTCCAAAGACAAGCACAAAGACAAAGACGTTGGCAGTGGACGGTAGTTCCGATGGGGCAACAGGGAGCTCCGAGGGGCAAAAAGATTGGAGGCGATGAGAACGCCAAAGTTGTAAAAAGGGAAACCAAGTCAAGAGGGCGTGTTCGGGAAAAAAGTACGGGTTTGTAATCCACGTTACGGTAGTGATAGAAATGACTAGTGAGAGTGTACAGTATAGTGAGTTGGTGTGTGAAAGTGACGAGATGTTTCGTAGGAGCGGGATGGGTGGCACACAACGTCCGCGAAAGAGGAGGCATGGGGAAGGATGCGGGGGGAGGAGAGGGGGGTTGGGGGTGGGCGGCGGAGTGGATGGTGTCGTGGCACACTGAGCATGTGAGCATGTGTAAGGGGAGCAAGTTGAAACGGGGACAAAGGACAGTAGGTGTTCGGTAACAGTTGTCACTTGTTTCCGGCAGCGCGTGGATTGGTGAGTGACGGAGGGCGGAAGAAGCGGGGGAGTGGTGCTGGTGCTCGCACCAACGCAACTCGCACGAGTTGCGTGCGTGGGGGGGTGAAGTACTGGTGGGAAGCGGTGACAATTAGCAGGGCTTGTCAAATGTGGCGTGGGGGACCACGAGCGTAGGCGGGGCACGGAGCGCGAAGGTGGGGATCTGGGGATCTGTAAATAAAGATGCGGGGAGATGGCGGGACGCGGGGACTACACGGCGGGAAAGGGGACAAGCGCGCATGTTTGGCACAGAAGGGGGGTGGCAGCGTGTGCCAAGCGCGGGATCCGTGGTGGAGAGGGCGAGGCCGGCGCGCGCAGATACAGGTGACGGTCGTGTGTCACGGGCGCGGCCGCTCAGTCTACATGCGCGCAAACTAACGACGGCCCTGTGTCCTGGGGCGCGAGTGTTCAGTGGGCAGCGTGCGCGTGTGGACCTGCGCCGCACTGGCGCGCTGCCGCGCCGGCCGCCGTGCCATCCGTCCGGCGCCGGCACGCGGCGCATCCGAGCGCGGGTATGGCGCGCGGCGCACGTGCGGGGACGCGGCTCCCGCGGGGGAACGGCGAATGGCCCGCGCGCGGCGGCGCATGGCTCGGCCGTTGCGGCGTGGTGCTGTCGTCCGAAAGCGTTTCCACGACCTCGATAAGACCAAAGACGATCTCTATTTAAATTTAAATAAATTAAAATTTAAAAATGACGCAACTTTCACTCATCATATTCTTCAGCTTCTATTTATTTAATTATTTAAGAGGAGCAAAACTCCCATCCATACTAATTAGCGCAAAGTTTTACACCGAACTGTGCCGCAACGGTAAAACTCTGCCTCTATTACATCCTGAAAGATGAAGAGATACTGCTTATTGTAGCACAGTATTGTACTGTGCTGTTTAGAATTTCCTGCTTCACTGATTTCACTGTCGGGACTGTCGGTACTGTCGGTACCGTCATCTGTACCGTTATCTGCTGACAAAATATACCCTTCGTATCCGCTGATGCTGGCAAACCTCAGGCTGTAACAGCCCTCTGGGAACAGGAGTATAGATAGAGACAGATGTTCTGGACCCCGTAAAAAATAGAGGATACCACTTTATTCATTTTTGACTACGCGTGACTTCCCACGAGCGGAAGCCTTCAATATTATCAATCATATAAACATGCCCCCGGGCGTCGTATCGGTGTTGAAGAATTTTTTTGTGAACAACTAGCTAGTGTCTCTCCGACCAAGCGTTCGCATAACATAAAAGTCTGCACATTTTATTTCTTTTCAATTTTGATGGCCACGGTTTCGTTTTTTCTTTCGTAGATTGATTGGTTTTAACTTTTTCGGAAGTTAGAACCGAATGGAAAGCCCTCAACGCAATGTTTTTTATGCTGCTGGCATAAAATTAGCTTTAAGAAAAATGCTTGTTGTAAGCTGACTTTTTCTTTTGAACATCTTTATATGCATCAACGAGTTGGTTTTCACTAGAATCGACATACAAGTGCTTTACGTGTGGTGATGGCCTTCTGGTTTAAAAAAACAGAAGTAAAATCGCGAGTCTGGTTGGCTGGAAAAAGTAAAATAACTTTTGTCCTCATATGAGCACTAACTGTCCGATAGACACTAGAGAACAATGCGGGGACGGCTCTTGGCAGGAACATCACGTCACCAGTAACAAAACGAACAAAATGGCTTAATCGCCAAAAACAAGAATATGGACCGCGCCGCGAGGGAGGGTGTATCCATTTCATATGTCGTGTCTCCTTCTCATATGTCTATCAAAGACTTTTGTTGGCCTTTTTCATTTAAGTGCAGTCGCAGATCGAAGTTACTCTATGAAGTTCTCACTTCCTCTCTGGTTTGTGTAGCAGTAGTTTTGAGATAATGTCCTCTTGCTATGTTAGTCAATCTTGGGCATGTTGGCAAGACAATTTTGTAACAAGATCTGCTTGGAAAAGGCCTGACAAGGAAACTAATTTCTGTGTAGAGTACTGTAACGAGCGCGTGTTTGCATGTCCTCCTCTGTCTACTCGGACTTGTGAGACAGGAAAGAGGAGGCCATATACAAAAGTTGGGAATATGCTGCAGGCAAGTCAAAGCGCGTCTCACGGAAGCGGTTCTATAGCGCGTACTTCGGTTGGGGTGGAGCGATGCCGAAAAGCTATACCGACATAGTTATGTCAATATGGAACACAAGGATATGCACGAATCTCAATATGGACGTTCTGTCGTATTCCATAGCTTGTACAAAAGTTATAAATGAGCGCAGCTAAGTCACACTATTGAAACAATAATGTAAGTCAGTGAAGGGCTCACATTATTGTTGCAACGCGATCAAGGAACTGCACTCGACAGGAGCGAAAGCGGTATGTACATGTGAATACTGCACTTAAACATATCCATATTTAATATGTTCATATGATCTACTTGCTAGAAGGAAACAAAGAATCTATATAAGTTATACGCCTTGGTTAAGTTGGCACATTAAAGTTCAGGCGTGGTCCTAGAAAGTCAATTCGCGTTTGTATCATTGTGTCTCTCCAAAAAGGAGATTTTCAGCATCTTGCTTGTTCGTTTGCAAGCGCTGGGCATGACTGGACATGCCTATGCAAGATCCCACCATGCCATCGCATGGTATGATGAGCTTGCCCGTACAAGGTCTAGCTTCGAATCAGATGAACTCGAAGACCTCCCAAGTGTCTTCCGCATGTACGGCATCTCTCCCATCTTCATAAATCCAACTGACTCAAACGCCCGCATCCCAGGCTTGCTGTCATTCCCTCGCTGCACAGATAGAACCATTGCACTCCCACACATACCCTTCTTTGCAGAACGCCCGCCCTGGTCCATTCTCAGAAGCTCCCCGGTCACGCTAGCCGCATACTCAGACTTCTTTGCAACTACGGGTCCGATTTGTAACTCCGGCTGGTGGTCCTTTGTAGGACTTGCCAGGTACCGACCCCACGCAACTGCCACGATAGACGAGCCAGACTTCAAAACTGCACACATCCCGTACTGCTTATAGATGCTCCGCAGCATCGATGCGCGTGATGCACCATTGGACTTTTCATCGAACTTGATTGCCTCTTCGTGTTCGGCCTTGCTTGGGACTCTTGGCTTGAGGCTGGAACGAGTCGGGGCGACTGTAGGCGGTCTTGCGTACATGACGATCTTGATGCTAGGTACGACTTTAAAGCCGAGGCGGCTGTACATTCCCATTCCGAGATCTGTGGAGGTGAGGACAACGGAAGATCGGCTCCTAAAAAGACACGAGACATTGCGAACAGGGGTAGACAATGGATTAATGAAAACGGATGTTAGAGAATGTGATTGAAAGAGGCGTGGAGGAAAGAGATAGAGGCGAGATACAGGGCATTAGAAATGCAAGTATACTTACTTCTTTGCTTCAGCGTGGCTCAGAAGCTCCGAGACCAACTTGGAACCAATTCCACGGCGCCTCATGCTCTCGGCAACAAACACGTTGCCCATCCAAAAGCTTTGAGGGGACATGGCATTCAGAGTGCCAGACCCGACTATGGCTCCATTTTTATCATAGACGACGGCGATGGTGGGTTTTGAAACCGAGAGATCAAACGTTGTCTGATTCCAGCCGGCTTCTTGGTCCTGCAAGCGAGTGAGTTGTGTCAAAAGGCGGCTGGTTGGGGCCTCATGGATTTTGACGGTAGTTTTCGTGAGGGACTTGGAGGTGGTTTGGGTAGACTTGCCCTGAGTGCGTTTGGAAGATTTGATTGATGAACTGACACGAGACATTGTGAGGAGTTTGTTTGAGGTGAGTTGAAATGAGCTGTATGTGTTAGGTTGTAGCCCGAGCACGTGTCGACGGCGATCGTGTGGGGCTTAAACGCGTTGCCTTCGGTGGCCACGGAGCCCAAGACGTTATATATTTTCGACGTCATGAGGCATACGAGGCCATCGACCACCTTGGGAGCGACCTTATCGGTGAGGTCGTTCCGCCGGGGCCTTCGAAT